TGGGCAAATACCACGGTGCCTTAGTTTTTGATGCGGTATGAACAGCCTATCTTCAGCCCCAAGGACAGTTAACCGTAAAGGGCACTCTGACCTGCCGCTGACACAGCTGCTCAGCTAAAGCTGCTGTTTTCTTGGCTCACATATCTGATTTCTTTTGAGATTGCTCAAGCTCCCGTGATTGAGCTCATAACTGTCCATTGGTTATGATATTTTCTTGCCCCACAGTTAAGACATCTTGCTTTTTTTTTTAATTGAGAGTTTGGGTCCAGGGTGATGGCACACACTTTTAATCCCAGTCCTTGGGAAGCAGAGGCAGATGGATCTCTGAGTTTGAGGCCAGCCTGGTCTACACAGTGAGTTCCAAGACAGCCAGGGCTGCACAGAGAAAGCCTGTCTAAACAAACAAACCAAACCAAAACAAAACAAAACAAAGAAAGAAAAGAAAGGGGCTGGGGACAGAGTTTTACTATTGTAAAATGTACAAATGTACAAAGAGCAGCACTTGGGCTGTCTTCCAAGACACAATTCTCTCCGAGCTGCTCCTGTCTCCTACCCAACAGTTCCATCCCTGTACCCTGAAGAGAGAGACACGGCTCAATTCCTTGACTGATAGGAATCTTACAGGGTCAGAAAGACCCCGAGCTGTAGCTTCAAGTAGTACGGAGCACATAGGACATAAGCTCTAATGAAAAGAAAAATGAAACGTGAGGACGAAGGAAAAATACTGCATTTCATTCTATTATCACGGAGCACGTAGCTTCAGAGACGAGGGACTCAGCTCCGGCTATTCTCAACAAAATGAAGCGTGTGGTCCCTCCAGAACCTTCCTGGAAAGCCAAGACTCCCCCACTCTCAGAACCACACCCACACACCCAGCTTTCCTCACCAGCGGAGGCCCTCGGCTCAGAGCGAGCGCTGCCGCTAGGTGTCGCCCGAGGTCCCGCTCCCAGGGAGCTCCAGGGATAGTAGTTCCGGGTTGATCGCCGACTCCGCTCTAGCCACCAAGCTTCCGCTTCTCTCCTGCACTCTAGAGCTGGGAGCAAGCAAGGGGGCGGGACTTCCGGGCGCGCGCGCGCGAGGTCAGGGGCAGGTAAGGTTCGCGGAGCGCTGGGGTCATAGCAGAGGGCGGCGGCGGTGCAGGCAAACGCGGGTCCCTAGCCTGGTGAAATTGCCAGATCAAGTCAAGTCAGATAGGGCCTTCCTCAGGGTTCCACGTGTACCCCACAAACACAGGCTTTTCCTGCGTCCTGTGGGGAACTGAACAAACCAAAAGTGCACGTCCTTTCTCCTAGTTAGCCCGCCTCAGCACTCAGTTTTGTGAGGGAAGTGCAGACCGTGTTTGTTGCTAGTTAAAGTGCAATTTAGATGTTGCGTGGGAAAATGAATGACACTACTACTGCTTCCATCACCGGAGGAGTGATCGAATCAGACAGCGGAGAGTATGAGTTGTTCTTGCTGAACAAAATGAAGTTATCTATTTGGTGGCGTTCATGCCCTGTGACCCAGTAAAATAATTGGTACCAATTTTTAAATGCTCGTTCTGAGCAGGTTGCTTCTCAGTAACAACTCTAGTGCATTCCTTGGGTCGTCGTGATTATGCCTTTCAGCTTTCCATGTCAGTCTCAAATAAGGTGAAGAGCAACTGGACTCCTGATGTTGATAACTGACCTATACTTATACGCACAAAAGTGTACCTGCAAGCATTCTAAATAAATGGATCCATGAGAAAGATAATCTTGCCTTTTTATGCCAAAGGGAGGGTGGGGGAAGGAGTTCTGAATTTTCAGATGTGGCCTTTATGTATTTTGTTTGACATATATAATTTGGTTTTGCTTCTCATTTTCAACAGTTATTTTCTCCTGTATTTTTCGTTCATTCTTATTTAAAGAAACATGATATCTCAAAGGAAGTAATTTGTGGGGCTGAAGAGATGGCTCAGTAGTTAATAGTGCATATTGCTCTTGCAGAACCCAGGCTGAGTTCCTAGTACCTATGTCACATAGCTCACAACCACCTGTAACATCAGTATAGGGCGGTGGTTCTCAACCTGTGGGCCACATATCAGATATCCTGCATATCAAATATTTATACTACTATTCATACATTCATAACAGTAGCAGAACTGCAGTTATAAAGTAGTGATGAAATAATTTTATGGTTGAAGAGGTCACTACCACATGAGGAACTGTATTAAAGGGTCACCGCACCAGGAAGGTTGAGAACCACTGGTCTAGGGGAACACTCTCCATCTTGGCTCCCTGGGCACATATTCACACAGACCCACCCACAAATAGCTTTTGTTTGTTTGTTTTTAATGTTTACACTATTGTGTAACTCCTATGGTAATTTTATATGAATTGGAATCTAATTGACAGGTAAATTAGACTTAATGTCACTTTAAAAGGTTATATTCTTTCATAAAATTGAAACTCTTTAAGAAAGCATGCTAAGCTCTTGAAAAGTCCTAAATTTTAAAATTTATTTTTACACGTATTTGTGTGTGCTCAGGCATGCAGAGGTCAAAAGACACCTTGGGGGAGTCCTTTCACCATGTGAATTCCAGAGATCACACTCAAAAAGATTGCAGGCCTGGTGACAAGCACCCAAACTGTTAAGCCATACAGCCTCGGTTTTGTTGTTGTTTGTTTTAGTTTTGTTTTGAATTTAAAGTTAGAGAAGGAGGGGAAAGAGGCAGCAATGTATCAGTCTCAGGACCAGTTATAGAAAGCAGCCATTTATCCTGTGTTTTTATTTTGAGACAAGGTCTCACCATGTAGCCCTGGCTTGCCTAAAACTCCACTTAGAAGAAGACTGGTCTTGAGCTCACAGAGAATCACTAGCCCATGCTTCCGAGTGCCAGGTTTCAAGGCCACACCTGGCCTCTTTTGGTTTATTTGTGTGTTGATGTATTACCAGACTAGTGAGATGGCTCAATAGAGAAAGACACTGTAGTCAACCCTATTGATCAGGGACCATTAAGTGTCCTTGTACTGCCACATGTGTATCGTAGTATGAATGTGCCCACATACATACATACACACACAAAAGCACAAATGGCCATACTGTAGAAGGAAACTAAAGCCACGGTGCTAAGAGTAGGGCTGAACCAGGGACTCGGGTCTAAAGAGGTTTATTCTCTTTCTTTGTCATAAAGACTATCGTTTTAAGACGTGGGTGTTGAATCACGTGCTCTTTTCTTGGGACAGTGGAGGCCGTGCAACGTCGCCCTTACTCTGAGCAAAGAACTGTGGGCAGAGGCAGTCGGGGTTAGAGAGAACTATAAGGCACTTTGCTGTGTTCAAATCGAAGTAAAGGGTGCAAAAATGCAGAGCAATAAAACCTTTAACTTGGAGAAGCAAACTCATACTCCAAGGAAGCATCACCACCACCACCAGCAGCAGCACCAGCAACAACAGCCACCCCAACCAATACCTACAAATGGCCAGCAGGCCAGCAGCCAGAATGAAGGCTTGACCATTGACCTGAAACCAGGAGAGAAGACCTTTATCCAACATAGCCGTCTCTTTGTGGCCAATCTTCCCCCTGACATCACTGAGGAAGAAATGAGGAAACTTTTTGAGAAATATGGAAAAGCAGGTGAAGTTTTCATTCATAAGGATAAAGGCTTTGGCTTTATTCGCTTGGAAACACGAACCCTAGCGGAAATTGCCAAAGTGGAGCTGGACAATATGCTGTGAGTGTGCTTTGCCTGTCACCGTGCATCCCTTACGGTCCACAACCTTCCTGAGTACATGTCCAACCAACTGCTGGAAGAAGCCTTTTCTGTGTTTGGCCAGGTGGAGAGGGCTGTAGTCATTGTGGATGACCAAGGAAGACCCTCAGGGAAAGGCATTGTTGAGTTCTCAGGGAAGCCAGCTGCTCGGAAAGCTCTGGACAGATGCAGTGAAGGCTCCTTGCTAACCACATTTCCTCGACCTGTGACTGTGGAGCCTATGGACTAGTTAGATGATGAAGAGGGACTTCCAGAGAAACTGGTTATAAAGAACCAGCAATTTCACAAGGAGAGAGAACAGCCACCCAGATTTGCACAACCTGGGTCCTTTGAGTATGAGTATGCCATGCGCTGGAAGGCACTCATTGAGATGGAGAAGCAACAGCAGGATCAAGTGGACCAGAACATCAAGGAGGCTCGTGAGAAGCTGGAGATGGAAATGGAGGCGGCACTCCGTGAGCACTAGGTTATGCTAATGAGACAGGAGTTGATGAGACGTCAAGAAGAGCTTCGGAGGATGGAGGAGCTGCATAGCCAAGAGGTTCAGAAACGAAAGCAGTTAGAACTCAGGCAAGAAGAGGAGCACAGGCACCGTGAGGAGGAGATGCGGCGACAAGAAGAAGAAATGATGTGACGACAGCAGGAAGGATTCAAGGGAACTTTCCCTGATTCGAGAGAACGAGAGATACAGATGGGCCAAATGGCTATGGGAGGTGCTATGGGCATAAACAATAGAGGCGCCATGCCCCCTGCTCCTGTGCCACCTGGTACTCCAGCTCCTCCAGGACCTGCCACTATGATGCCAGATGGGACCCTGGGATTGACCCCACCAACAACCAAACGTTTTGGCCAAGCTGCTACAATGGAAGGAATTGGAGCAATTGGTGGAATTCCTCCTGCATTCAACCGTCCAGCTCCAGGAGCTGAATCTGCTCCAAATAAACACCACCGGTATTAGATAAAGTTGCATTGTCTAGTTTCCTGCAGCCCTTAAAAGAAGAGTCCTTTTTGGACTAGCCAGAATTCTACCCTGGAAAAGTGTTAGGGGTTCTTCCCAATAGATAGGTCTTCCTTGCTTGTACTACTCTAGGGAGTATGCTTGAAGGCAGAGGGGCAAGGGAGGGGTGGTATTTAACAAGTCAAAGTCTGTGGAATAGTGCTTTCTCAAGTCTGTCTGGTGCATTCCTGAAGTATATTGACTGTTGAGGGCCTGGAGAACCATAGGAAAATGGACTCACAGCTCCATTAATCTTGATCATTCCTTCTCCCTCCCTCCTCTCTCTCTCTCTCTCCATCGTGTTTTAATTGCTTTCTCATCTTTATTCCCCTCAACCCCAGAGACACTGCCATATATACCACAAAACCTAAACATCCTCCAGTGACCTAGTCCCACTCCTCCATTCACTCCCAGGTAAGAATTCAGACAAACGTCCACAGAGGTTACAGCATACCTATGGTTCTGTTATATCTCGTATATGACCCCTTCATGTCCTAAAGAAGACATTTTCTCTTAGAGGTTTTCATTTTAGTATATCTTAAAAACCTCTTGTGTTAACTTGCCTCCATCTTTTCTTGGGTAAGGACTACACTTTCGTGTCTCTGATGTTACTGTTCACGGCTTTTCTTGAGAGGCCTAGTACAGTCTTGGGAACAGGGTTGCTGTGTGTTGGAGGTCTGACAGTAGCTCTTAGCTTGGCTATCTTAGGTAGTTACGCTGTGCATTTTTATTGGTGTACTATGATTTGTTGCTGATACCTTCAGTTTGAAATTTTTTCTGAGAAATAGAGCAGTAATGCAGCATCATCTTATTAAAATACATTCGAAGCCTTTTCAAAAAAAAAAAAAAGCCTTTGGGTATTGTGGTCTGTGTTGCCATGGAGTCTAATCTGCTCTTATTACTGATCATATACCCCGCCTGTCTGCTACACTGCAAAGTGAGGATGGAGTTACCTTAGCAGCCTGTGTTGGCTTTGCCTGCTTTCTAGAGCCTCTTCCTCTCCTTCCTACCTGTCAGATTACCAAGGTTCTGGCTGCCCCCATTCCCCTCGTCAGACTTTATAAATGAGAATATCATTTCAGGGAGGTGCAGGAGTAACTGTGCATGCTTGTGCACTCACTCTCGCTAGTCAGGACAAGGAATCAACAAGTGAACGGTGTCTGTGTGGAACCCACGAACACCAAGCTGTCAGAGAGGTTTGGGTTGTTCCTTTTGTGAATTACCATTTACTGAGAGCCGCTGCCCTCCCTAATGTCTCTTGGTATCACTGCAGTCTTTCTTTTCAGAAAAATAGGAAGTAAAATTTAGACAGGCAGAGTTCAGAATAGATCAAATGCCAGGGCCTGGATACAAAGCCAGTCTCATCCTGTAGCCTCTATTTAAGAATAAAGTGATTGGGAATTCAAGATGTATTTTCCCTTAAATGTTTTAGCAAACGATAGTTCCCAGCCTGCTTTAAAGTATCTCTGTAAATGTTATGCAATTACCGTGAAAATCTATTCTGATACTATACTAGTAATTAAGGAAAAGAATATAAAATAAATAGAGGAAAGGGTTGTTTAAACTTGTGTTTGGAAAAAGTCAAGGTTTGGGGGGAGGTTTTTCTTTGTTAATGTTATTTGTGGTATTGTTGCTGTTGTTTGTTGTTGTTTAAAGCATACATAAAAACATGGCAGCTTCTGAAGACTTCTGGACATCTAAAAGGCCTTGGAAGGGTTATGGCACTGTTATATTCTCCTTAGGTGTAAACTTGTAATGATGTCTTTTCCCCTGATAAAAATGAAACCTTCAGTCTGATAACACCAGCCCAAACCCATCTGCATCCACACTGTCCACCCTGGAGAGCAGGGTGTGAAAGGGAAGAGCATAGAAAGCTACAGGAGCCCAGATTAGTTTGAATGAGGCTGTGAATCTTCTCCCCTGGCTAGCCTTTGGGTGGCACTGCTGGCCCAAGATCATCTAGTCGGCATTCAGAGTAACAATGGTTTGACACTGATGGTCTACAGTTGTTCTAAGGTCAACCTCTGTTCTGTTTCTGGATGTTGAAATAGCATTAAAACTTTCCTCAAACAAACTGAGTTTATTTTCTCACAAGCACTATTTTGAAATGTATCAGGTGCTCTCTACCTAGTCTTGTCTTGTAGCAGGTGTGTGGAAACCTCTTCTCTGCAGGTGGCATTTTATTGGCATTCTTGTTTCCTCCCACGCTCTCCTGGCATTTCTATTTTTGAAGGATTAGTTTGATGAAAGCAGACTTTGCTTTGCAAGGGTAGTGTGCAGAACACTGAAGAGCTGTTTTACCTTAGCGCCTTCTCCTTGGGAGGTTTATGTATAGTTCTCCCATTGCTTTTTTTCAAGATAGATTTATGCCTTTTTTACATTCAAAATCTAGCTCCTCCTCATCTCAACCAAAGTTTCCCTCAGATAGTCTTTTAGCCAGGAAGGATTCTCATCTTGCCATGAAAATTTCACATAAACTGGTATGTGCTGCCAACAATTGCCCATACATCTGACCTAGAATGAGATGGCACAGTTATTCTACCAGAAGCATTCTTTTTTGTTTGTTTGTTTGTTTTCCAGACATGGTTTCTCTGTGTTGCTCTGGCTGTCCAGGGAACTCAAAGTGCTGGGATTAAAGCCATATGCCACCACTGCTAGGTGTGTTCTTTTACTTTTTATTGTGTGTGTCTGTGTCTCTATGCCTATGTGAATGCATGCCATTTGTGTGCAGTGCCCACAGAGGCCAGAAGAGGGCATCAGATCCCATGGGGCTGGATTTACAGGCAGTTGTGAGCAGTCCAACTGTCGGTGCTATGAACTGCACTGTCCTCTGGAAGAGCAGCGAGCATTCTTCACGCTGAGCTATCTCTCTAGCCCCCAGAAACATTCTTAATTTTTACATTTCCATCATGTGGGGTTTTTTAAATATCTATTAGCTATAATTTTTAATGCCCTAGTTATCATTCTCACATCTGTTCTACTGTTCTATACCTCTGAAGGAAGTTACTGTTGAGCTAGTTTGCATTAAGTCTGATAAAGAGTATCATAATTCCTAAGTGACTTTTGTTCAGGAATAACAGATCTTTTGAGCTGATGATCTTTATTTGAGTTGTTGAATATTGTTTCTATAGAGCCACTGTCTGTTTTTCCCACATGGCTTGCAGTTGCTAGGCAGAATTCAATCCAGTAACCTAGAGGCCAAATGACCTCATAACTCATTAGCAGTTCTCAGAGCCATCTGGTGCCCTCGAGGAGAACAGTGTTCAAAGGACCGATAATAAAGACAACAGCGTAATTACTTCTTTGCCATGATTACACCTTTAGATGGCAAGCAGTCAGCATATTTGCTTGCAGATTGCTTGGGTGGTTGTTTTCTAAAGGTATAATAACGATGCCATAGCAGAATAACTTGTTTCCCTGACCCCTTCATCCAGCTTGCAAAGAAGTAGACGTGACAAGTAAATAACCTACTAAATTACAAATTGTAAGAAAGGCAATACACCGAAGAAACATAGTACGTGAACACAAAATGTAAAAACTGCAGGCGAGAGGAGAGGTGGACATGTTTCCACTCCAAGGCTGATCCTGCCCAAGGCTACAATAATTCATGGGTGCTATCTTTTCATTTTCTAAAATGTTTACTAGATAAATGTGAGATTTCTCATGCTCACCTATTAATCTCCTTTTCTATAGGAATCTTGTTCCTTACCGCTGAGGAAATGTCTCCTCTTTCGGAGTATGCACTGCGCATGTCTCGTCTGAGTGCCCGGATCTTTGGTGAAGTGGCCAGGCCTACTGATTCAAAGTCCATGAAAGTGGTGAACCTGTTCAGTGAGCAGCCCTTGGCCAAGAAGAAAGAGACTTACGACTGGTATCCAAATCACAACACGTATTTTGCGCTCATGGGCACCCTCCGTTTCCTTGGCCTTTACAGGTGATAACTGGGGAAAGTCAGGGTTTTGTGAGAGGTGGTTTTAGAAGATCGCCAAGGAAAACAATTAGCTTGTGGCTTCACATTTTGCCTTGATTCATAAACAAACAGAAACATGTGCTTGTTGTAATTATGTCTAAAGCATAACTGACGTAAAATTGTATTGAATTATAGAGAGAGATCTAATTGTTCTTTTTTTCATTTTTTATTGGTTATTTTATTTATTTACATTTCAAATGTTATCCCCTTCCCAGCTTCCCCTCTCCCCTCCCTCTGCCTCTATGAAGATGCTCACCCACCCACCCACTCCTGCCTCAACACCCTAGCATTCCACTACACTGGGTCATTGAGCCTCCACAGGACCAAGGGGCTCCCCTCCCAGTGATGCAACATAAGGCCATCCTCTGCTACATATCCAGCCATGGGTCCCCCATGTATACTCTTTGGTTGGTGGTTTAGTCCCTGGGAGCTCTGAGAGGTCTGGTTGGTTGATATTGCTGTTCTTCCTATGGGTTGCAAACCCCTTCAGCTCCTTCAGTCCTTCCCCTAACTCCATTGGGGTCTGAGTACTCAGTCCAATGGTTGGCTGCAAGCATCCATATCTGTATCAGTGAGACTCTGGCAGAGCCTCTCAAGACAGCTATGCTAGGCTCCTGTCAGCAAGCACTTCTTAGCATCAGGAATAGTGTCTGGGTTTGGTGTCTGTATATGGGATGGATCCCCAGGTGGGGCAGTCTCTGGATGGCCTTTCCTTCAGTCTCTGCTCCACTCTTTGTCCCTGCATTTCCTTTTGACAGGAGGAATTCTGGATTAATAATTTTGAGAGGTGGGTGGGTGGACCCATCCCTCAACCAGAGGCCATGCCTGTCCACTGGATATAGTCTCTACAGGTTCTATCTCCCCTCTGTTGGGTATTTCAGCTAATGTCCTCCCTGTTGGATCCTGGGAACCTCTGGGGGCCCTGGCATCTGGGACTTTCTACTGGCTACCCCCAGTTCCCCCTCCCCCACCGCTGCACACCTCCTTTCAAATTCCTGACCCGCTCTACTTTTCTCCCATCTCCTCCCGTACCTGAGCCACCCCCCCTTTTCCTCCCCCTCCTCTCTCCCTCTACTCCCCAAGATTATTTCCTTCCTCCTTCTGAGTAGGACTGTAGCATCCACATTCTGGCGTGGTGTCTAATTTCTTCTTGGGTTTCATATGGTCTGTGAGTTGTATCATGGACATTGTGAGCTTTTTCCCTAATATGCACTCATCAGTGAGTACATACCATGTACTTTTGTGTTCTTCTGTGATTGGGTTACCTCACTCAGGATGTTATTTTCAAGTTCCATCCATTTACCTAAGAATTTCATGAAGTCATTGTTTTTAATAGCTGAGTAATACTCCATTGTGTAAATGTACCATATTTTCTGTATCCATTCCTCTGTTGAGGGACATCTGGGTTGTTTTCAGCTTCTGGCTATTATAAATAAGGCTGCTATGAACATAGAGGAACATATTTTAAATATACTATAACAGAAGCTAACAGAAGAGAAAGTGGGGAAGAGCCTCGAACACATGGGCACAGGAGAAAATTTCCTGAAAGAACACCAATGGCTTATGCTCTAAGATGAAGAATTGACAAATGAGATCTCATAAAATTGAAAAGCTTCTGTAAGAGGAAAGACACTGTCAGTAGGACAAAATGGCAACCAACTATACCACTCCTGGGCATATACTCAAAAGATGCTCCAGCATATAACAAGGACACATACTCCACTCCGATAGAGGGCTAATTGTTCTTTAATTTAAAACTGCTCTAAAAACGATGGGGGCAGCTGAATGGGCCAAAGTGACAAGGAATAACACTGCCACACACAAGCACAGTGGTTGCCAGAGCCCCAGGTTCTTGGTCCTGTCCTTCCTCCCCCACACTGCTCTGCCTCTTACTGGGTGTGTAGAAGCCTCCGCTCTCTGCCGGTGGCAGTTTCGTGGACATTTTTACTCCTCCCACTCACTTCTGGTGTCTTATTTTGTGCCTTTTTGATATATTAATTTGGCTTGAATAAGCTGCACTTCACTTTTAAGAGTAATTTATAAATGGTGTAACTTCTAATAGTGTGCTTTATATGTTTGGTAGGTCTGAGAAGTGAGTGCTTAAGACCTTTGTAGGGGGCGGAAGAGAGTAAAATACCTAGATGGTCATTTTTGTCTTTCTTTTTCATTTCCAAACTAATACATGTTCCTTACAAAGAATTAAAACAGCATATTTCGTAAAATTTAATTGCATACCATCTTTAAAATATAACATGTTTTAATTGGACCTAACTATTAATTTGGGACCATTTGTTGTAATATAAAATTAATAGCACAGCATGATACTCATTCCAGAGAGCTAGACGTTGGTATATTCATTTATCCAACTATTTTTAAGTACTTTCCATGCGCTAGTACTTAAGGTGGACATTAAAGGAACAGCGATGAACAAAACAGACAGTCTAAGTTTACACGTGACTAGATTATAAAGTACAACCTGCTTCTGAATGTCTGCAGTTGCTTGGGACTCTCTCCTGTGCCTTTAGTCTTGCCTCAGGAAAAAAAAAAACAAACTAATTTTATTATGACCCAGAATAAAATATCAGAAGCCAGATCCCATGAAAAATTATAACCCATAACAAAATCTCATCCAACTATTTCAATCTGCTGCTTGATACAATTCTTTTTGCTGATTTGAAGAACAAAGACGTAACTATCTTTGAAGGTGGGGAAAAAAAAACTAAACACTTAGTTGTTCATTGAAAAGCAAACTTATTTGTATGTGTTTAGTCAGTAATTATAGTAAATGGTAAATGATGTCTTCAGTGCATGGCCATCTGTAGCGTCAGACAGGTTGAATGTAGACATCACTTCAACAAAGAAAGTCTGATGTAAAGGCCTGTAAAAGAGGGGGGAATGTAAGCACCCCACACAGCTGAGTCACTCGGTTAACAAGCTGTCACGATAGACTAGCAGACTTTGTAGAGTTTTCTGTCTGATGGAGAACAAAGACTGGGGAATGATGTAATACATCATATATGTTTTGTGACAATGTTGAACCTGCTGTGGGGCGGGGGGTGGGGGGGAGAAGAACTAGCTAAGCAGGATCCAGAGTGCTGACAGACCTGTGGGGAGCAGGGCAGTCAGGGTCAGCCCCACAGAGGAGATGGAGGTTTAGCTTAAGGCTCATGGGTACTGAGTGAACCTGGGAGACCTAGGGAAGAACTGTGGGACAGAGACAAGAGTGAACAAGGCCACTTCCTGGAGTGCGCCTGCAATGACCCAGGAATAGTTTAGGCTAAGGCAGTGACTGGGAGACAGGAGGCAGGTCACAGGGCTCTGTGGAGCTGTGGTAAAGAAAGGGGCTTTTGTACTCTGGGCAACAGAGTTTGAACACAATGGTCTAACATCTGTTTTAGATGAATTTTTATAGCTATATTGAGAATTGTTTGGCATTCCTAGCTTATCCCAATGTGGTCATTTTGTATCGTCCATGTTCATGGAATAAAATATCAAATTCCGTAAAATCAATCTTTTAAACAACAGCTTAGTTGGACCCAGCAAAGCATATGTATGTATGTATGTATGTATGTATGTATGTATGTATGTATATGTATATGTATATGTATATATGTATATATGTGTGTGTGTGTGTTTGATTTTATTAAATCCATTAACAATGTATAATTAAACCACAAGCTATTGACATAACCTGTTAAAGATGAGGAAACTAAGTTACAAGAGAGCCAGGTCTCGTATCCAAAGTCACAGAGCTAGCATCTGGTGGAGCTGTGTTTTAAAGTCAGATTTACATGAGTTCCATGGCTTTCATGTTTAAGCACTTTCCTTGGGTATTTGGCCTTAGAATGTAAACACTTTAACCAGGTCTTCACCTTCTACACTGTCCACATGTATAATTAGTCCTGGCTGCCATGACTCCTTTAATGCCTGTCTTGGTCTGCTTTCCATCTCCTTGACCCTTTCCTGACAGCATCCACTGCCATTCAGGCTGTTCTGGACAACTGCCTGTTTTAGGAGAGGCTAATTCCTAGGGCAGTCAGGAGCTCTGCTCAGGTACTGAAAACTTACACTCACACTTTACTCCTCTCAATGTTTAGTCTTTTTAATTTTCAATACTGAGAGTCTAACCCATGGTGTTTAGCCTTGACATAGGGAAATGCTGGGTGGTGTATCTTATAGATACATAGGTTTACCTAGGCTCACCAGGAAGTTTACTCCTCTTTGTAGTATTGTGTCTGTAAAGGAAAACTGACACCTGAATTCTTATAACCTAGCCAGTCTGTATGTTGGGTCCTCCATGCTTTCTGTTCACCAAAGTAAGCATGTGTCCTAAAAAGCCATGGTCAACAGCCCAAGAGAACGGTTCTAGATTGGTATTTCTCTAGTGCGGTAAACATAGCTCTTTGATTTTTTTTTTCCTTCTTCATCCAGAGATGAGCATCAGGACTTTAAGGATGAGCAAAGACGTCTAAAGAAGCTCCGTGGAAAGGGGAAGCCAAGGAAAGGAGAAGGGAAAAGAGCTACAAAAAAGAAATAGTCTCAGCTCATCAAGAAAGAAAATGCTTTCCTCAGTGACTAAGAAAGTGTATCTCATTATCTTTTTGCATATTAAAGGAATACGACTTCCCTCAGTAGACACCAACCCTGTGTTCATGTTCACTTCAGCTAAACTGTGACTGGTTTCTTGAAGATAATTCTAATCCTTCAAAATTATAATGACCTCGATTTTGTAATCTGAAGCATACCTAATTCTGTAATGGAATGAATAAACTATTGCTGAGTGATTTGTTTAACACTGGAATGGCTGTTGGGATTGCAGTAGGGGAACCTCCCTAAATGAGTGTCCTGGGCTTTCTTTATTCCTCCTTTGCTTCTCCACTCAGCCCTAACCTTTCCTCTCTCTGACCAGCGAGCCTTCGCTTTACCATCAGGCTTGCTCTTCAGAAGGTGCCTGTCTGGGATTAAAAGCTTTCTGGGACAGGGAGGATTGAATGCCTTGTGTACACAAGGCATTAGAGATTAGTACTAGAGTGGTTAGAAAAAAGAGAAAAAACAGTTTTTAATTTATGAAACTTTAAGTTTTGTAGAAGAGACTAATATAAATACATATATTTAACATAATTATAATTGCATGGTATTATAACAGTACTAAATGCTACAAAGGGAAAAAACTACTTTTTGAGACAGTGGATGGGTGGATACATGCAAATATTGACAAAACCACTTTGGGAAATTTAGAGAGCTTCCAAAAGAAAAAAAGAAATTATATTTACACTGAACACAAGTGGTAAATGAGAGAAAAATGATGAGGAAAAGTGTTTGAGGTGAAGAAAGATTGAAAAGTCCTAAAGTAAGAAATCCTTGTTCCAAAAACTGAAAACAGACCACTGACTGGCTCACGTTTAGCCATAAGGACATAGACAGGCCAGGCAAGAGGCGTAGGCAGGACAGCAAGTTTGAGGCCAGTCTGGACAACTTAGCGAGACTCTGTCTCAAAACAGAAAAGAGGATGGTCTGTGCGTGTCATGGGAAAGTCCTGTTTAACCTTAATCAAAAAGCGATGTACAGAAGCAAGAGTAGACCTATCAGCTACTTTAGATAGGATCTTCTTTCCCTGAGCACTGAATGAGTGCTGGACTAGTAAAAAAAACTCGAGTGCATATGTTTAGACAAATGTTATTTTTAAACATGCATCATCCAGATGGTGTGGCTGGGGCTTGTATAGCCTGTTTGGGGGGTGGATACTTAAAATTGGGTGATTTGTGTCTGCTAGAGTTGAACTCAAACAGAAGGTTCAGAATCCGTTCGTTTAAAGCTTTCGACCGAGTACCTGCCATATGCCTAGCTCATAATAGTTGTGAGGTGATAGAATGAATAGATAAGGTCTCTCCAAAATTGTGTGAATGAGGGCTGCTGCTGTTACGAAGGAACCGCAAGAGCTCAGTAGTCTGCTTGGAAGCAGTGCATCTGGCACTGCAGCCGAACCTGAGTAGATGCTGAGGTGGGAAATAGTGACAGCCCAGACATGGAACGGCTGGGATGATTCTCCAACCTATAAAGAAGCCCTAGGGCTGAAGAGATGGCTCAACAGTTAAGAGTGCTTGTCTGGCAGAGGACCAGAGTTTGGTTCTCCATACCCACATTTTGACTCCAGTTTCAGGGGATTGGATACCCTGGCAGGCACCAAACACACATGTGGTGCACATACATACAGGCAGGGAAAACACATACACATGAGATAATTTTTTTTTTTAATTTTAAAGAGGTGCTGCATAAAGAGGTACGTAGAAGATAGAAGAAAATGTTTGGACAAGTAACTTCATTAAGTGCTTACCACAAACCTGAGGTGGAAAGCAGAATCTCTCCTGGAAGAGCTTCAACAGCTCGGGCTGACAGGAGGCCTAGCCATGGCTGTGGTTGTTTAAACAGTGGCTCCTGTAGGCTCATATATTTGAATAGTTGGTCACCAGGGAATGGAGCTGTTGGAAAGGATTAGAAGGATTAGGAGGTGTGGTCTTATTGGAGGAAGCATTTCACTGGAGGTGGGCATTGAGGTTTCAGAAGCCCACAATAGGCCCATTTCTCTTTCCCTCAGCCTGCCAGTCAGGGTGTACCTGTCAGCTACTCCTCCAGCACTATACACGCTACCGTGTTCCCCACCATGATGATAGACTAAACCTCTGAAACTGTAAGCAAACCCCCAGTTAAATGCTTTCTTTTGTAAGAGTTGTCTTGGTTATCGTGACTGCTTACAGAACAACAGTGACTGAGACAAACCCACAGCAGATTTGTGTGCCCGTCACATGCTAAAAATCAGAAAAGTTAGGGTTTATTTGCATGTAAACTGCCCAAAAACCAACTGTTGGGAAAACACCTTGAGACTCAAGATAGCCTACACTAAACTGCTTCAGACACACTGGGAGGAAGGAGGAGAAGGAAGTATCTAGATGCTATAGGAGGCAATGCAATTCACGATGCCAGCATCCCAGGTTCAGTGAGGATAAATACAGCTAAGGAAAAATTCAACTTTAGACTTAGACTAGCTAGATTGCTATCATCAGATTTCTGACCAAAATCTGAACTATCTGTGCTTTCCTTCTATGTTTGGCATTTAGTGTGCATAAAGGATTTTGCCATGGATTTTGTTATAGTGCTCCACTATGTTCATAGCAGCCTTATTTTTAATAGCCAGAAGCTGGAAACAACCCAGATGTCCCTCAATGGAAGAATGGATACAGAAAATGTGGTACATTTACACAACAGAATACTACTCAGCTATTAAAAACAACAACTTCCTGAATTTTTCAGGCAAATAGACAAAACTAGAAAATATCCTGAGTGAGTTAACCCAGACCCCAAAGGACATACATGGTATATACTCACTGATAAGTAGATATTAGCCAAAAAGCTCAGAATACCCATGATACAACTCAGACCATATGAAGCTTAACCAGAAGGAAGCCCAAAGTGTGGGTGCTTCAATCCTGCTTAGAAGGCGGAACAAAATGGTCACAAGAGGTAAAGGGAACTAGGGACCTAGGTGGAAGAGAGGAGGGGGAGGGAAAAGAGGGGTCAGGATCAGGTATGAGAAGAGACAGGAGAGAAGTCTAGAGGCCCAGAAGAATGACTAGAAGTATGAAGCAGTAAGGAGTAGGGAATGGGGGGGGTGGGGCAGGGGGGGAACCACTAGAGAGTCTCAGATGCTAGGGAACTGAGAAGCTCCCAGGACTGAATGGGGATGACTTTGGCCGAAATATCCAACAGAGAGGAGATAGAACCTGTAGAGACCACCTCCAGTAGATAGGCATAGCAGCCAACTGAGGGATGGGGCCATCCATCCATCTCAAAATTTTTGACCCAGAATTGTTCCTGTCTAAAGGAAATGCAGGGACAAAAAAATGGAGCAGAGACTGAAGGAAAGGCCATCCAGAGACTGTCCCACCTGGGGGGTCCATCCCATCCACAGACACCAAACTCTGACACTATTACTGATGCCATGTTGTGCTTGCAGTCTAGTATGGCTGTCCTCTGAGAGGCTCTGCTAGCATCTGACTAAGATGCAGATACTCATAGCCAACCATTGGACTGAGCCCAGGAACCCCAATGGAAGAGTTAGGGGAAGGACTGAAGGAGCTGAAGGGATTGCAACCCTATAGAAAGAACAATATCAACTAACTGGACCCCTCAGAGGTCCCAGGGACTAAACCACCAACCAAAGAGCATACATGGAGGGACTCATAGCTCCAGCTGCATGTGTAGCCGAGCCCTGCTTTATCTGACATCAGTGGGAGGGGAGGCACTAGTCCCATGGAGGCTTGTTGCCCCAGCAAAGTGGGATCCTAGAGGGGTGAGGTGGGAGTGAGTGGGTGGATGGGTGGGGGAGCACCCTCTTAGAGGCAAAGGGAATGGGGAAGGGGGGAGGGTTTGCAGAAGAAAAACTGGAAAGGGGGACAACATTTGAAATGTAAATAAATAAAATTGTCAAAAAAAATAAATAATAATAAATGTTGACTTTTGCATTCAAAAATTGAGAGGTTATGATACAGTTTGCTGTACCCCTACAGTACATCCATGGACCTTTTTGTAAAATCATGACAATATTTTACTAGATTAAGGCCCTCTACAGTTAAGAGTTTTAATCTCAGCACTTGGACAGATAGTTCTAAGTGAAGCCAGCCTGGTTGTGTATATATGTATATATCTGATGCCTTTGCTTATACTGCATCTTCTAAAATAGAATAAAGCAAAACTTACGATTCCACTTTTTCCACTTTCCCTCTCTCCTCACATATATTCACCAACACTCCTGAAGCTCTAAATTTAAAGCTCAGTCTGAGATGGAGTTAAGAACAAACTTGAGAAGCAGTAGATAACACAGACTGTCTTTAACCTTCCAATCTTGTCTTCCTTTAAAAAAAAAAATTTAAAGTTAAGAGGTGAGTGTAACAGGTCTTTAATCCCAGTATTCAGGAGATAGAAATAGTCTGAGTTTGAGGCCACCCTGGTCTACACAGTGAATTCTGAGTCAGCCAAGGCTACATAAGACCCTATCTATAATAAATAAATAAATAAATAAATAAATAAATAAATAAATAAATAAATCTTTTTAAAAAGTAAGAACAAGGCCGGGCGGTGGTGGCGTACACCTTTAATCCCAGCACTTGGGAGGCAGAGGCAGGCAGATTTCTGAGTTCGAGGCCAGCCTGGTCTACAGAGTGAGTTCCAGGACAGCCAGGGCTACACAGAGAAACCCTGTCTCGAAAAACCAAAAAAAAAAAGTAAGAACAAAAGTCAATGTGATTCAAAGACTCATTCTACTTAAGGAAACATGTTTTCTGGGAGAGAATGGTTCAGTTTATGGAGAGCTTTCTTATCTCTGCTATGAAAGCCATGAGCTTCTCCTAAAATTATTTCAGTAAGAAACTAGTGCTCAGGGCAAAACCATCATCTCAAAAGAGACAGAAAACTACTGATTGGCCCACTGAGCTTAGAATAAAAACAGGCCTGGAGAGATCGCAGAGGTTAAGAACACAGGCTGTTTTTCCAGAAGACCTGAGTTTGATGCCCAGAACCCACATGGCTGCTCAGAACCATCTGTAACTCCAGTTCCAGGGTTTCTAACACCCCCTTCTATCCTCCACAGGCACCAGACACACACATGGCACATGGGCACAAATGCTCAAAAAAATACATAAATAGAATAGAATAGAAGAAAAACAGAATTCTAAAGAGAGATTGAAAGTTTTGCAGAGGACATGGATGAATCTAAGTGTCCAGTCTGAGTATCTATAAGGACTG